AAATAATAAAATACATCATTTAAACATGACATGGCTACAAAGTGCAGGCTCATGTAAGCCGTTAAGTTTATATTCATATCAATAAAAAATAAATGGGGAATGTGTCCATCGGACACAGATGATGCCCCCGCTTGCATATAACATTATAAAGGGATATTACTCAAGAACTAAAAGTGACGCTACCCAAATTTGTACTTGATCTGAGTTTTGTGGTAATAAACATTGTTTATAAGTTTCATAACAATTAGTTGGGGCAAACTTAAGTTAGAGAACAGAAACGAATAAACTGCTTCGCTGAGTGCAGCTAGATACGCCCGCAGAGGTCCAACCCTGAACAGTTGGGGCAAAAATGGACACAATATTCAAGCTTGATTCAGGTCTGAATTTGGATTGTAATTAAATATTTGACATATTATAGGTTTCTGAATAAATGTATTCAAAGAAATTGAAATTGGTTATATGAATTGAATTTATTTTCAATTAAAGATTTCTTGCTGTTGTGCAATACTTAGTAAATCTGTTGTCAGACTATAAACAAATAAAGTTCAATTAATTCTCAATGTCATATTAGAAATTTATGAAAATAAAAAGGGAGCTTACATCAATAGATATAAACAATTCACCAAAGTTTCATGAGAATTGGTGACAGCATTTTTGAGTTATTGTCCGAAAACTGGAAAATCACCCCTTTTTTTAATGAATAAAACCCCATAACTCAGAAATGTTAAATGTAAAATTTATAAAATTCTAAAGGGAGCTTACATCAATACATACAAACAATTCACCAAAGTTTCATCAGAATTGCTGAAAGCATTTTTGAGTTTTTGTCCGATAACTGGAAAATCCCCCCTTTTTTTTATGAATAAAACCCTGTAACTCGGAAACGTAAAATCTAAAATTTATAAAAATCAAAAGGGAGCTCATGTCAATAGATATAAACAATTCACCACAATTTCTTGCAAGTTGGTGAAAGCATTCTTGACTTATTGTCCGAAAACTGGAAAATCCTCCTTTTTTTAATGAATAAAACCCCATAACTCGGAAACGTAAAATCTAAATTTTATAAAAAAGGAAAGGGAGCTCACGTCAATAGATATAAACATTTCACCAAAGTTTTATGCAAATTGGTGAAAGCAATTTTGAGTTAATGTCCGACATGTTGACGACAGACAGACGGACGGACGGACAGACGGACAACGGTATACCATAATACGTCCTGTAAACGGGCGTATAAAAATTCAGCAATTTTTCAATTTGTAAAGGTGCATAACTCTAGAACGGTAAAATGGACACCACCAAAATTCAAACTTGATCTGTGTTTTGTGGTAATAAGCATTGTATATAATTGCATATTATTTGGTTGAGGCAAACTAATGTAAGAGAACAGAAACCAATTTTGGGACTTACAGACGGACGTAAAGACGGAAGAGGGTAAACTTAATGACCCCTCCGCTAAGGCGGGGGCATAAAATTAAGTGATTTTTTTTACTTTAACATAGTGAAAGCTTAGTCACTATTGACCATAGAAATGGAACTTGTGAAAGCTGGGGCTAAATATGTTCAATTGTTCAATCCAATAAGAATAGATCATGTGTCCACAATTTATTAATAAGTTAAGCTTAACATAGATCTATATTTTATCTGCAACTTTTTTTCTTCAAACATGCTTATTATTATCATGGGCCCCAGGGCATACTTTCCTCAAGTGCTGGAGGTAGTGGGGATGATCCCCAGATGAGTCAAAACAAAGACTTTAAATTTGGAATTTGCTGCTTCTTCACCAAGAATGCAGTTAAGAAAGAAGAGTAGACTGATGGGCTTGGTGTAAAAATAATGTCTCAAGATAAAGTGATAAGTCTTGCTGAGCACTGTTTACTTGTGAGCTAGAAGTTGAAGGTTAATATAAAACAATATGTCCCAGAAAAAAGTACGAGTCTTCCACTATCACTTGACATCTCCAAATTTTAAGTATGGAAAACCCCAAAAATCTTTTAAATAAAAAATTAGCATGTATGGTTTATTGATTAGCATAGTGCAACCCTTGGCATGGATTTGGTACATATATGCATTGACTAGCATAGTGAAATACTTGACATGTATGGTTTATTTATTAGCATAGTGCAACCCTTGGCAGATGCACAACTTCATGTACTATGTAAAATAAAATGCTCCGCTGGGGCGCAGCTTGATACGACCGCAGAGGTCAAACCCTGAACAGTTGGGGCAAGTATGGACACAACATTCAAGCTTGATACAGCACTGAATTTGGATTGTAATTAAATATTTGACACAGCATAGGTTTCTGACACAGAATGAAAGTGGTCTAAGGACTTATAATTTTTTAATTTACCTATTCATATATGTGATGGACTGTGAAACTCAGATCAGGAGATTGGGAAATTTTGGTCAGGAGATTAGGACTCAGATCAGGAGGTTTTTAATCGACATAAATTTTGTCGTAAATGTAACCGTGTGCTGTAAAAATGGTCTTTTAAAGTGTGTTTTCTTCAACTTTCCATCCAATTTATTATGTTTATAGTACCCTTGTACTTATAAAGTTTCTCCATCTTTATATTTTACATGTTCAATCTAACATTTTTTTTTTCAGTATGTTCTTTAAATTTTTACTTCATATTCTATAAAACATTTATTGCAACCAGAACATTTGTTTAACTATCTGCAAATAGCTTTTGTTTGCATACTCAGAAAATCATTCTAACTGTAAAACAAGGGTCATAGTTATTATATAAATTTCAATTTAAGCCTTGAAAGGAAGTATAGAATCCTCAAATAATTTTCAAATTATTATTTTTTTATTTGTCCTAAGACATTTAAAATCATTTATTTACCATCTTTTTATGATTATTTGTTCAATTTATATTTTATTTATATTCTTTTAAAAATTTTCATTATTAAAAGGAAAGTAACTTAAAACAGGATAAATCAAGGGAAGTAACCCAATAAATACACAGTTTTTGTTACACAACGGCAGTTAGCCTGAGGTAAAAAATCGTTGATTACCAGTATGTTTGACACCCAAGCTGACAAGTGAAGCCATATAATTATGCATGTTAATTGATTTACAGGTAAAATATAACTTCAGGTAATGTGAGTTACACCAGATGCCTGAGATGATATGTTGGGCAGAAATTTTTCATTCATGAAAAATTTCATACACGGGATTATAATTTTCCTCTTCAACCGGAGGTCGGGAGGAGACTCCTGAAAACAGGATTATTGTACTCCTGTCGGGAGGTTCACATGTATGCTATTCAAACCATATCATTATTATTTGCTTTTATATATAAATCAGAAATAACCAATTTAAAATGGAAAATTTATAAGAAAAAAAAGGAAAAAAAAATCCCCCCCCCCAAATTTTTTGAACCCCCTTATGATTCATCGCCCCCACACTCAATCCCAGCTTTCCCTTTGTGGTATGGTACCTTGCAGTACAATTTTAGAGAGATCCATTCACTTGAACACAAGTTATTGTCTGGAAACTAGAAAAATGCTTGTTTTTTTGTCCCTTTTTGGCCCCTAATTCCTAAACGTTTTGGGCAATTACCCCCAAACTCCAACCCAGCTTTCCCTTTGTGATATGGAACCTTGCAGTACAATTTCATAAAGATCCATACACTAACACACAAGTTATTGTCCTGAAACTAGAAAAATGCTTGTTTTTTGCCCCTTTTTGGTCCCTAATTCCCCAAATTTGGAGGAAATTACCCCCAAAAATCAATCCCAGTATTCCCTTTGTGATATGGAATCTTGTGATACAATGTCAGAGAGATCCATACACTAACACACAAGTAATTGTCATGAAACTAGAAAAATGCTTGTTTTTTGCCCCTTTTTGGTCCCTAATTCCTAAAATTTGGAGGCAATTACCCCCAAAATCAATCCCAGCATTCCCTTTGTGATATGGAACCTTGTGGTACAATGTCAGAGAGATCCATATACTTACACACAAGTTATGTCTGGAAGTTACAAAAATGCTTATTTTTGGCCCCTTTTTGGCCCCTAATTCCTTAACTGTTAGTACCATAACCCCCAAAATCAATCCCCACCTTCCTTTTGTGGTATTGAACCTTATGGTAAAATTTCATTGAGATCCATTCACTTAAACTAAAGTTAGAGTGCGAAAACTAATGTGTATTCGGACAGCGACGCCGGACGACGACGACGACGCCAACGTCATACCAATATACGACCACAAAATTTTTTTTGCGGTCGTATAAAAATCTGTGCATGTTTGGTGGAATTGTGACAAGTCTATTTTTACAGCATTGGCATTGCATAAAGTGTGACACAACAAAACACAAAACAAAAGAAATCCCTTTTGTGTCATTAGCTATGTGATCACCTAAACATAAAGTGTGAATGTTAAACTGCAGATGACAAAAATTTATCCTTATGTATAGCTAGTAACAGCTGGATCCTCTCAGGCGAAAACAACTGATTGAAATATAGCATATCTAAATACTTTTATAAACAATTAATGCAATTTCAGATATTTTGTGTTGTTTATATTACTGCAAAAATTCAGCCAAAAAGGTATCGCAAAAAAAAAACTTGCAATTTCATTAGCATTAATATAGTATGCAGCATTTACTGAAATCAATATACTGCAAATTCAGAAATTATTGCACAGTTTTATCAATGTGAATATGCGACTGAGTATTGCAATAATAGAAATTTGCATTCTGATATCAAATAAAATATATCTGTATGCAGCTTTTCCTGAAATCGCAATAATTAATTTCCCATTTTTGTCCTTTCGTCAAACATCACAAAAATAAATACACACAATAATTTCTGAATTTACAGTAATTAACCTCCCATTTATTTGCATTCTTTAAAAAACGCAATAATAAATGCACACAAAAAACTGTACCTTTAAAAGCAAGATTTCACTATATATATATAAAAAAAAACCTTTTTATATAGACAAAGCTTCATTTCAAGAGCTTCTTTGTGGAAAATAAAGGAATAAACAATATTTGAATGTAAATTTATGAAAGAAATATCATTACAACTGTATAAATTAAGAAAAGATAAGATACACTGATCTCTTAAATGCCGAATTATCCAATGAAATATACTAGTCATTATCAGTCCTTTCAACCAATCTTCCTCTTTAAATCCACTGGCATTCATCTGACATGACAAAACTGTCACTGTACTATCAACAACATTCAGATTAATTGTACAATTACAAGTACACAGATGCCCACATTCAAACTGATTTGACTTAAAGGTGACAAGTGATACAAGCTTTTTAAGCCATTTTAAGATGATATATTTATCCATATTGTTAAGCTCTGCCATGATTGTTTTATGTGGTTTTTGCCCGTATTGCAGCTCTCTTTCCTGTAACGGCCTGGAAACCAGATTTGATGCTAGCAACAGAGCACCGAGAACCACACGTTTCACACTGTAGAAAGAAAAGTCTAGTATCTTTTTGTAGCAACGTGTCAGGTGACCTACAAGTATGACAGGTAACATACTCTTCTGCAAATAAAAATATTGTTTCATTAAATATAGATCATACTTTGAATACTGCATATATATACTATATACCCTTCTTTGTTTAATTTTATGTGTGCATGTACTGATTTGTATTTAATGTTTGGTGTGCTTTTGTTTTGTTCATGTTCAAAGCTATACAGAGCTTGCTTATTTTGTAATTGCTTTGTATATACTACCTTTAAATAAAGCTTTAAGTCTTGTTTCATTAGTATTCTCTCATATATGGAAACACCCTATGTCTACGGTGATGAACATGATTTTGGATGAAACTTATGTAGAAAAGGAAAAAGTCATCTGCATTTTCAAGAACATTTCTCCACCAGATACATAAGAAACAAGCGGAACTGTGAGCTACTGCTCAAAAATAATACCACCATTTATTTGGTAAACAGCAACAGATGTGAAAACCAATGCTTAGATAAATGTTGATACTTAATTGCAGGGTGCTCTGATATGCAGGGGTTTCATTATCTATTATGTTGACTGGTACTTTCCCAGTTTGTAGGTGGTACTTTTCAATTTATTCCATGAATACCTTATATAAAAATTCCTACATTTAGGCGGTACTTGTCCATAGCATAGGAGGGTAAAAGTACCGGGTACCACCTCCTAATGAATGGCCTGGATATGTAGATCCTGAGAACGAATGTGAGGAAAATTTCATACATGGTCATTTTATGTCTTAAAGAATATACTGTGGATTCATTTATTTTCGTGATTACCAATTTTCGTGGTTTAAGGAAAACTATCATGTTCCTGGATATTTAATTTTGTGGTTTTGCCGAAGTCTGAATACAAGCCAACAGAAAATTTGTCATTCGTTGGAACATTTAATTTCGTGATTTACGTGTACCCACGAAAATTTGTATCCAACAAATAATAATGAATCCACAGTATATAGAATAAGGACATTTTTGTTTTTTTGATTTTGACTTCATCAGCAAAATATCAAGCAACTGGGGCAAGCTGATATTTGAGCTGATGAAGTTACTATCAAATAGACTGCTGACACAGAGATATGTCTCGACTGTTGGCAAACAATTCAGAAAAAAACAATCTGATGGACAGCAACATGGTTTATTAATTCAGTCGCTGGACCCATTATCTAGTTGGCAGGGCTTGAAAATAATCGTCAAACTGATACGTACTGATAGTAATGCAACTTTAAGCAAAATATCTTTGATTTATCACAACATGCACAAGTAGTTCTTATCAAACTGACTGAAGAAGAAAACTTATCATTCAAAATTCTTAATTAATTCAAAGCCACTGGTCCATGACCTAGGGGGCAGGGCCTTGAAATAGTCATCAAACTGATATGATCTGATAGTAATGCAACTTTCTATTAAATATCAATGATCTATCACAAGTAGTTCCTATCAAAACTAGTTTAAGCAGAAAACTTTGACAATTGTTGACGCCGTCACAGGAAAAGCAATCCCTTTGTCTCATTTTCCGTGACTTTTGTCGCAAACGAGACAAAAATTGAATGCCATTATTCATTAAATCAGGAATTTATCTAAACAATCTTTTTTTTAAATTGAGAATATGAAATAAAATTACATAGTAAGTAAATATATTTGTCCTCGTATAAAACATTGTGATAATTGTTCGTTTTTATGAATGAAGTCCCATGCATTTCATTGACAAACTGACATGGATGGATAAGAACCTGTCACATTGCAGCACTGATACCTGATGTCAATGTCTAATGTTTTCTAGTATCAGGTCATGTTCATGATTTAGAAAAATAATAGGTCGTAAGATCAAAGGAAAATGTACAATCTACAAATTGTTGATAATTGAACATTACTGATAACAGGAAGTTAATGAGCTATGAATCTGAAAATGCATCACACAGTGTATATTTTCTATCACACTCTTATCATTTTGATGATTTGCTACTTACTGATATATCTTCTAAGGACATTTTCTATCTGTTTCTGGTTATATTTGCCTTTGATAATCAACTGGTTATTACCATCAACAGAACCACTGCAAGATAAAATATTATGTTAATAGTTAAAATACTTTTAAAGTGGTCAGGGAGGTGACTGATAAACCTTTTGACAGAGCATTTACTTTGAAGAAAATGTTAACCAACCAAAAGATTCAAACTAGCTGAACGTGAATGTTTGATGTGAAGTTGTCACAAAGAGTTCTGTTTTAATACTATTTAGCAATATTTTATGCCCTGCCGCAGGGCGATGGGGGACATTAATTGTTACCCTTGACCGTTCGTCCTTCCATCTTTCCATCCATCCCATTTTCGTTTGAAAAGCAAGCTTGAGCAGGGGCATTTGTATCATTATTCTTCTTTTATCTATGTTTCTGTGTAACACTGATGTTGCTACCAAATGATTGAGTTGATAATTATCCAAAAACAGAACTTTAATTATTTAGATGGCATTTGTCTTCAATCAAAACACAAAGTACAATTTCTTATACACAACTTTTTGACACCAGCATCCATTTTCGACAGAAAGATTGATTGATTGTTGTTTGCTTTACGCCGCATTAGCACAGAAAGGCTATATCGCGGCGAGAGCTAATTCGAATATTATAATCGACAGAAAGATGAAAACAATAAATAGATCACTCAATAAATGGCATCATTGATAAACACTTCTTACTGGCTTATATTGGAACCTTTACAGTTATAATGTGAACATCTTACCTTTCAAAGATGTAGAATGCTTATACCCAGATCTATTCTTACAACTAGAACTTAAATTTTGAGTCAAAATGCATTTTTTTAAACAAGAAAGTTATAACATGTTATCTTAGCACTGGAAAACAACTTTTCATTTCTATATTACCTTGTACCCAATTCTGCCAACAGGAAAGCTAACACATGTTTTGGCTGTCGATGTAACCTACAAGATTGTAAAAAATTCATTAAATCTTTTTATTATATTTCCAAAAACTTCTAGATACTTAATGATATTTGTCAGCAAATATATGCTTGAATGTACTATCAAGCATTTACAGCAAGGCAAATTTTAATATATTGTTATCATATATATAAATTCCAACATTTACTGTTCATGCTGTCTTTTAAATACTCATATACCAACCTTCTGGCAAAAATTGTATTCCCATATGCATTAATCCTAGAACATTAGATGGACACTCCAGATTTAATGGGCTGGACTATGTAACATTTTATAAAGACAATTATCTATATTCCAGTTTACGTAACACAATTAAATGTAAAAAAATTATATGATCCACAAAACCTCATACATCTAAGCTGACGGTACACCTAATGTCATGCTTATTTTAATTGTCTAATAAAAAATAGTCATAGATAGCCCATACAGGACTTTCTTTTCTTACAAAGTCACAAAAACAAAAAGATTCAAAGACAACAACACTAAAGCTATCACTAAGTTGCAGTATCTTTTATTTTGTCGACTAGTTTCACCACGGGGGTGGAATCGTCAGGACAATTACATAGTGTTATAGATTACTGCAGTACAACAATTGCGGTTTACTTCGCCATTGACCGGAATGATAGATAACGGTATAAAAACCTAAATGTCCTGTGCCAGGACTGAATTGCAATAAATATGAAATGCAAAGAAATTAATAAAATGTTATACAATAGAGATAAAATTGAATATGAATGTAAGCATAAAAATAAAAATAAAATTGTGGATAAATTGTATAGTTATTTTCTATATTTAGCGGTTTTGAAGCAGGGCATCATGTAGTTGCAGCGTCACAAAAACAAAGAAAACAGCTGTATAAACTTACAATCTACAAATATCTGCAAAATTTGCAAACGAAGATTTTCTAGTACCAACTTTAAGCACTTGAGGAGGTCTCATAACAAATTTCTTCTTTTCACCAGTTACCATGTCAGGATTTTTCTCTCTGATTATATCAAACACACGTGTCAGTAACTGAAAAACATTAAAAAAAACATTTTACACTTCACTGTGTGTCATGATTTATATTTTACTACCAGACTGTGCCTTTTAGGAAATTATGCAAGTACCAGTACTATTTTTTTATTTCTCTATTCAGTCACTTCCAATGTACAACTTTCATATTCACTATGTATTTTTTTCCTTTTAATAAATGGTAAAGTAAAAAGTCTTTTCAAATAACCAAAACAAGAAAGCAAACTTTTTTTTTTTGGTCATATTGTAACAAATAATATGTGTAATCTCTGTTACAATAATTAAATCAAAAAGAATATTTATCTTCATTCAACATATTGAAAAATTCAAAGTATTGGCATACAGGAAGTAAGTGTCAGACAGATTTGAAACGTGCATACACGAGACAACTCATTACTGTCAAACTGCTGATAAAATATTTGTCTTTCTGTTCATTATTACATGAAAAAAGTGTGATGGCTATATTTGTTAAACATATTAAATAAACAGACCAACAATAGGACAATGGGATAGACAAGGTGAATGTAGAGTGGGATTATAATTACCCAGAACTACCACTGGAAACATACCTCATCATATGTGTAATCTCTATCAGAGTCCAACCAGGATTTCCCAGAGCTACCGCCTGTTAATCTCTCTTCCTTCTTTGCTTCTTCTGCTTCATCAACTTTTAAATTAAAATAGAAATTGCTGACACAGAGTTATGTCTGGCCTGTATGATATTTTGATATTAAAATGGTAATACTTTAACATGTTAACTATGCAAAACATCCAAAGTCCAAAGTTATGAACCATAACTAGAGGTTTAGGGCCAAGTATTCTCCATGGAAATGAGATATGCCAATGCTAATACAACAATATAAAATATACTATTGACCAATCGTAAGGGATTCCCTTAAACTGACATGATATAAACAAGAAAAATTCATAAGTCAATTAATCACAACAGAGAGGAGGTGCAAAAAAAATCTCCATGGAAATGATGTTCTTATACTTATACAACTACATACCAAATATTATTGATTTACAGTTAGTGGTTTCCCTCAGGGCTTCCAAAATTATTTTTAGCCAGCCGGACATTTTATATATTATCCCGATTTTAATCCCTCAAGACTAAATAAACAAAAGGCAATTATGGTAATCAGTTGCCGAGTTGGCCATCCCAATGATTGACATTAAAAAAAAACGATATTAAACTTTCTTTGATTCAAATTCAAAGTTCTGACGTAAACTGTTAAATTGGCAGTGCATCATTTGAAGTGTGCAACATCAGCGTACTTATATCTGCCTTAGACTCTTTATTTGTGCAAAATAACGTTGTCAAAAACTTTACTTTCGTTTTTATACCGGATGTTATCTTGACAATGGTAAAACATGGACCAGAGACGGATACGTAAATTCCGTGTACGTTTGCAAAGCGTGAATGAGTGGAAGTTGCTATTTCTACGTTATTTCTTCATGAAAATATTCGAAATAAACGTGAGATAAAGGTATCAATGACAATTTAAGCATTTTTTGAAGAAATCAGGATGCATAATTAAATTTCACACCTGCGCACATGCTCACACGTGTACTAGTTCAAACAGAGACATGTCTCTAGGTCCAAACAACGTGGTTATGACGATTTTTCATTTTCACCTTTTTAATTTTTTCATCAAATCATATTTGTAAACGTATTTCTGATAATTTAAATCTTTTTGACTAAATTAATTAGATGCAAACCGCTGAAATGTAAGAAAATAACTTTGAATAGACCGATCAATGTCCGGTTCAAAATAGTTTACCTGTCACCTGAACAGGTAAATTTCAGCTGTTTGACAACTAATTAGCCTTGATTAAAATGAGAAGGTATTAAAGTAGGGGTTGTTTTGATAGTACTTAATGATCATGTCACTTTTATGACCGGAAATGTGTGGCTGTTAAAGGCAAAATGTTGGGTCAAAAAGATCGCGAATTATGTTAAAATGACCGTCTCTTAAAGCCTTGAAAACTAAAAAGTAGATGACCGTTTCATGCTTTGCCCAGCCGGACTTTTACCGGACATTATACAAATGTCCGGCATATATGACCGTTTTGGAAGCCTTGGTTTCCCTCGAACTGACCTAATCACACGTTCGGCAAATTAAACTTTTAAAACCTGGCATTGTAACAAAAATTTAGTAAAAAAGCTCTTCCAGATATTTTTCAGGTCCCATCCCATTAGCTGATTTCAAAAATGTTTCAACTGACCAATCAGCAATGGACTTGCAATTGGGTGATTTTTATAAGTGTCAAGCATTTCATCGACCATGAGTAACAGGAGTCATTGATACAACAACGAAATCTGCTTAACGTAATAAATGTTGAAATGTGAAGACACTTGAAATGATATTATCAAAATCTTTGTGGCAGAACAGACAAATATGGTGGCTATAAATATCTAGACAGCTGTAGATTTGACAAAAAGGATTAATTGTGAAAAACAGCTCAATCATGAGAAAGGGGTCAAGATAAAGTTTTCCCAATGCCGTTCTGTGGTGTTGATAATGGATTCTGGTGCACAAAAACATCATTGTTACAGTATATATAAAAAGTTCTCAATAACAATATTTTGTTATATACATAGTTACCAAGTTATCAAACTAGATTTCCTACCTTCATCCAACATTGGTTCTTCTGATTCAAGTGCATCAAAGTCAACCTTCTTCTTCTTTTTCTTTTTTTTAGTTGGAAGAGCTAAATTGAAATCTTCGTCTGCTGGGGCTTCTTCGTCCGCTCCCCCATCTTGATCCTCTGGGGGCTGTGTAGATTCTGAAGCTCGTGATTCCTAAACAAGTATATATTTTTATGTCTTGAAAATTGGTTGTTTGTGACTACAAGATTAAAAATCCTAAATCTTCTGATAGTGCCAAGTCTTTAATAAAAATATCAATGTTAAAAGGAATTTCAAAGCCTTTTCCCTAACACTAATTCTTGGAAAAATTTTGTATAGATTCTATTGGCCTGTGAAAGAAATTCTTACAGAACTGATGGTAATTTTACAAGCCTAGGCTAGTGGTCCTGTGGCCAAGTGTGAAGACTCTTTATACTTGACCTCTCACCATATTTCCACAGTGACAGTTTAAAATATGACCTCGAACTAAATTGAAGGGTATAGTCCACTAGTCAATATTTAAGTTAAAATGTACATCATCTTAACTGCTTCCTCAGAGTTCTTATTCAAATATTTTCTTTTAATCTGCATGTTGGCAACAAGAATGTGGGTTATACTATTGTAGTTCGATCACCCTTGATATCTTTCAAGTGGGATGAATATTATAGATTCTTCTTTTGCTATTCCCAAAAACAAATTGAAGAATATTGCATGAAAGTTGCATGTACATGCATAAATAACATTAAAACAAGATCTAGACCCCTCCCCCCCCCCCCTAGTATTGACTTAAAATATATCCCTACTATTTATCTATCAGGGCTGTTTCAATTAAACATATATGGCTCCTGGGAAAGGCACTTTAAACTAGAGACTATATAGAGCCTGTGTCGCTCACCTAGGTCTATGTGGCACACAGTGCATCTTCAACATTGTAGACTACTATTTACAGTTTCTCTCTATCTTATTTACTGTTTGCCCAAAACACAAAAGAGGGCCAAAAAAATTATCATTTTAGGGGAATCGATCCTATCTAAAGTAGACTCCACCTAATCAGATATCGGCTAAACGAATATATCAGCTGTTGTAATATAATTTCAAAACACCAAACCCTTCCCTATATGTTTAATGTTAATTTTATCGTGTAATCAAATATCAGATATAAGAATATATCGGCAAATAGGATAGGAATATTCAGAAAAAAAATTGTCAAAACCATGCACAATCGGATATTTTCAATGTTTTTCTGACAGGAAATGGGTCTGGAAGTTACGCAATTATAATCTTGCAGACAAGAAAATTTTGTTTTTACTTAACAAAAGAAACTATTTCTTAATAAATTGTTGTCTTTATTCATTGTCTTCCTTTGAAATGTGAATTAGATGCCCTTAAAATTCAAATGGTTTGAATCTATTTATAAAATATACAAGAGCAGTACAGTGTGTTTGGAGAATTTTGATAAAATTCTAAGTGCTGACAGAATCAGAAATATAATTTAAACTGAATGTACCTCCTTCTGAATAATTTATTGCAATATACATATAAATCCCTTTTGAAAAGAAAAATCTGACTATCAGATATAATTATGTAACATGTGCATAACCACATGTCATGGACGCCATTTTCTTTTGTTATTTAAAGTTTCTATCTATCTTTTATAGTTTCCAAGATAATAGGCACCAAAAATTGGTAAAAATCATCATTAAAGAGCAATAACTTCAATAACCAGTCAACTGAAGAATTCGGCTATTAGACTTATTTGGTGATCTTGTCTTACTGATCACTTTTGCTGTTTTCAGTTTCTAGCTATCAATTGTAGTTTTTAAGATTTTAGGCAAAAATGACAAAAAAAATGTAAAAATTGACATGAAAGGACATTAACTCTAATAAGAAGTTTATTGACGATTTCTGCTATTATAACTTATTTGAATATCTTGCCTTGCTGATCAGTTTTGCTGTGTAAGGTTTCTCTCTATCTATTATAGTTTTCAAGATAATAGGCAAAATGGAAAAAAAGTAGTAAAATTTGTCAAATTGTGCAATAACTCCAATAAGAAATTGTCTGACAGTTTCAACGTAAATACACAATAGGTAGAGCTCAACATTCTGAACATTTCTGCTCCTGCTAGATTTTCTCTATTTATAGCAGTTTCCAAAATAATAGACAAAACTTACATTTCACCCCTATGAAAAGTTCCCAAACAGACAACCAAATGCTAAGATGAATGTGCCTGTTTGGACAAGAATAAACTCTCAAATAGAAATACAGAATCTCTCAAAAAAACTGGTCTCTACATTTAAATTGGGCCTCATTTACCACATTGACAAATTCACTTATTTTAAAAGGCCAGGTATTCTTCCCTGCTAAATATAAATCACTTAATTATATCAGCCAATCATAAAATGATTTGTGTACTTACAAATATATGTATATTTAAGTACACCTATCAGATCTCTCTGTTTTTAAGGCTTTTAAAATAAAGAGCTGCGCCATGAGTGCGTGATAATGCCCATCACTTTTTCAAAGAACAACATTCCATAAATCCTCAATGTCATATCAGAAATTTATAAAAAACTAAAGGGAGGTTATTTAAATAGATATAAACCAGTCACCAAAGTTTCATGAAAACTGCTCAAAGCACTTTTGAGTTATTTAAGGAATGACTGTAATATTTTTTCTGTCTATGAAGAAATAACATCAAAAATGTGGTGCACACTGAATAACCCACGTAGTCAGTTATTTTAAAGTGTGCACCACATTTTTTATGTTATTTCGAATAGACAGAAAAAATATTACAGTCATTTCTTATAATTTAATTCTTAATTCCATTTTAAACCGGAGTAAATCATGAAAAAAGGTTGATGACATCAAGGTCACATGACAAAATTATGTCTATGAGTTGATAAACAAAACAACGTCAGCCAATCAGAAGATGCGTTACATCCAAAATTAAATTATTGTCCGAAACTGGAAAATCCCCCCTTTTTTATAAAATCTAAAATTTATAAAAATCCAAAGGGAGCTTACGTCAATAGATATACTTCACCAAAGTTTCATGAAACTACTCAAAGCATTTTTGAGTGATTGTCGAAAACTGGAAAATCACCCTTTTTTAATGAATAAAACCCCATAACTCAGAAATCTAAAATTTATAAAAATTGAAAGGGTGCTCACATATAAACAATTCACCAAAGTTTCATGTAAATTGGTTTAAGCATTTTGGAGTTACTGTCCGACATGTTGACGACGGACGGAGAGACAAGGATATACCATAATACGTCCCGTAAACGGGCATATAAAATCATGAATTGATTGTTCGTTGATGATTACAACACTTTCAATTGCTGTTGAAACAAGATCTAAACTTTATACTTTAAATACAGTTATCCTTACAGGCAGAGCATCTCCCAAGTCATCAAGTTCAAATGCTTTCTTTTTCTTTTTCTTCTTTTTCATCCCAAGGCTAAATTCTAATGACATATCTGAAAAATATTCAAACAAATTCCTTCTTCTACATCACATTACCGAATCCAGAATATAATCGTAAAAATAAATACTAAAAAAATTACAAATGTTGATGCACTGTGTCACATAAACGCCCCAGTCTGCAGTCTTATAAAATGTACATTTCAGAGAATTCATATTTAAAGTGAAGTAATAGTGTACCAGGGACATACACAGGCATAAGAGTGTTCATGGGTTTATAGTGTGGCTAATATTACGAAATTAAGAAATTCATTATTGGAAAAGTCAACCAGATTAACAAATGCTGATCATCAGTATAAAATTGGAACTTAAATTCTGTAACAAGAGTTTACTAGCTCTGTGCCTACTATATGGCAATCTTGATTCTGTTCATGGGAAATCTCAAATTAAATTTTCACTACTATCTATTTTCTGAGAAGGGAGTTCTAGGACTCATACTTTCTGTAGGAGTGAGAACTCTGATTACTGGCTAATCTTAAATGTTGTCTTTTCACATACATCTAAAATGCATGTACACTACAAATGTATTTTATAATTATTTTCCATTATTTATTACCATCATCTACTTTTTCCCTTTGATTTTCAGATTTGCTTTCCTCCGGTTCCTCTTGGATTTCAGTTGTTTCTGGGGTTGGTGCCCCATCTGTTGCTCCTTCTGTCTCACCCATAGCTGCATCTAAATCAAATGGTACCTTCTTCTTTTTCTTTTTCTTCTTCATCACAGAAGGATCAAAGGGTGTCTGTAAAGGGTTTTTTAAATATATTTATACAAATAGTGAAAATTACACTCATAGAAATGTATGATAATTTTGGACAAACGTCAATCTGATAATTCAGATGCATATATAAATGCATTAGTTGTCGTTTGTTGATGTGGTTCTTAAGTGTTTCTTGTTTCTAGTTTTTTATATAGATTAGACCGTTGGTTTTCCCGTTTGAATGGTTTTACACTAGTAATTTTTTGGGGCCCTTTATAGCTTACTGTTCGGTGTGAGCCAAGGCTCCGTGTTGAAGACCGTACTGTGACCTATAATGGTTTACTTTTATAAATTTTTACTTGGATGGAGAGTTGTCTCATTGGCACTCATACCACATCTTCTTATATCTATTGACATGTCAAATGTTTGTTTTTAATAATTTACTGCACTTTTTCAGATTAGATCAAATTCTATGCATTGGCCTAAAATTTTACAAATCACCTGGAATTCTGAAGCTTTCACAATCATTTTTTTAAACTATCCATGAATCAAACAGAACAACAACATACATTAGTTTTCATGAAATACTTATTGATCAGAAGTTGCATCATATAAATTTTGGTCTCATTTTAATTCTGTATTACATCACAAAAAATATACAATACCTGATTTTGTATCATAGAGATCTATTCTTGTGTTTAGGATTTTCCAACCTTTTTTGTACATTGTATCATATTTTTGATGCCCCAACCTGCCTGTTCTAAATTTTTATTGGCAATTTGATAAATTTGAATTTGTACAAAATATGCACATTGTAGGAACTTACCTTTTCTCCATTATAAACCATAATTTAATTTCTGCAGATCTAGATTAACAATGAATTATTGATCTTTGTACAATGTTCATAAACAGAGAGATATATTCATAATGTTTCCTTTGCTATATCTAGATGAATGTTCTCAACAAACAAACAATCTTCACTTTATACCAAAAATTGTCTGATGCAATAATGACATTTGTAATGTATATTTATAGCCTAGCAGATAAACTGCATAACAGGGAAATGGATCTCATTATTTTTTATTGTGGAAAGTTACGAAAGTAATTTGTGGTTAGTCTTTTTAATAATTTAATGAATACCTTGAATAAGGAATTATTTGAATCTGGAATAATTTTGAATTCTGGAAAACTGATAAGAAATGAATACAAACTAAAGAGGGTTAAATATGCACGCATGGCTAAGGTTCATTTTACTTTCACTGTCAGACACTGATATTTCAGTATGAACTAATTAAACCCCCTTAGCCATGCATGGCTAACCCTCCAAAATTGGGCTAGTATTCATCATACATTTCTTATCAATTTTCCAGAATTCAAAATTATTTAAAGTCTTAATGATAAATGAATTAACCTAACGGGACAGTACAATTTCAGAGTTGTTAAAAGTCCCTTTTTATAAAGACACCAGGTATCAGGTCCATTTGCCCAGAGTCTGGTAGAGAACAAGTTTGTTAACATTTGACGACTCTTTCACAAACAGTCTGTTAACCAGAGTTTTCAATTAAAAACAAACAGACATGGTATTTGTTTTCCATATCATATGTGCCTTGCCTGTACATGTAGTGTACAACACTACATCAGTTCTGCCTCAGTCTTGAGGCTCAGAGGTTGGAAACTTTTTAGGCAAGGTCGAATCTTAGTGAGTGGCAAAATCAAAATCCCGAAGTGGATTTACGACAATACATCAAACTATCAGTATGGTAGAACAAATATAAAGCCGAAGTGGTTCAGGGTTCGAAAACGAAAGCGGCGACCCGACCGAGATAGTTTCGTGAGATTTCGTTTTTATGCAGGCCAATCTTCTGCAATATATATTGATTTACATATACAACCATTTGATGATGGAAAAAATAATTGCCGAAATGTTACGATATCATAATCTATATGTTGATCTAAAATAATTTACTACACGTGTGAACTAGGATGGAAGTCGCCATATTTTCCTCATATTCCGATTCAAATTAATCATTTCATCTTTTATTTTCAACCCTCTTACCAATTCGTCGTCTTCCATTCCGAAGATGAAAGATCAACAATAATTTCACTATTTTATCACAGAAAAATGAAACAACAGCTCGGGATTCCGTGATTTTTCAGTTTTTCATCGTTCAAATTATTGCATCAGAACACTTCAGGTCAAGGACTCTGAAAAATCGGAGTATGGGAGATAATCCGAAAAAAAAAACGAGAGGCCCATTGTCGTAAAAATAAGCTGGTTCTCGAGGTTACACTAGGAAAAAACGGGTAGCAGTTCCTGTTACTAGAAATGCCAGTGTTGCAAAACAATCAAAAACATATTTATGGTCATGCTGCAAAAATTGACTTAAAATGCAGTTGAAAAAGATCGTCTATTTTTTTCGCTTAATGAAAAAGGCATATTTTTAATGGCTCCGACGTGCAGAAATAGAAAATATTTTCTATACTTTGTAAAATGTTAATTTGATTTTCTGGATTTTTTAAAACTAATTTGATTTTCTGGATTTTTTAAAACTAATTGGATTAACCCGAATAATTCAGTCCCTCCCCGTGATCGACTCTCCCACTCGCGAGGGCCTGAATTCTTTATACAATAAAAACGCGTCACGAATCCAGGATTTTGATTGGTGCTCTCTGTAAGAGAGAGCCAATCAGCTAATAGCTCAACGACTGAATTATTCGGGTGAAATTGGCTAATCTTTCGATTAAAAGGAATTCCAATCCTGTATCATCCATTCAGAATCCGTACAGGATTCTAATCTGAGTACCATCTAATTGCGCTCTTGTAACCTCGACTGACTACTACTACCAGAGACCATCGAGACATATAATAATTGTAATATGAGGCAGGTGTTACCTGTGAAAGGGGACGAAGTCTGTAAAAATTATTTTGAAAAAGAAAGGAAAATACGGAAACGTCATTTTCAATGTAAACAAAGAAACGCTATCATTGTATTATATGTCTCTGCTACTACACTTTGTTTTGGTGTAGCGTAATACGAGCGGATTCCAGTTTATCGTAACAACAAGTGCTTTGCAGTATCATAAGTAAATGTGACTTGTTTTTGTGTTTTTGTTAATGTTTAGAGAAAATGATAGTTTTTTCCGAAGTATCTTTTTCTTCTTCTTCTTCTTCTTCCAAATACTGTCCACATTCAACATGTTCAACATGATGAATATTCTGTCAAGTTGCGCATGTTTAAAAACAGGTAAAACGGGTAAAAAACAAATTGTTGGGTTGATTATTTAGAGTTGTTGGTCACTTGAGACTTGAATATCTCAAGAGACTTTGCTGGGGCGATATCTGGAGCAGTGGCGGATCCAGAAATTTTCATAAGAGGGGGCCCACTGACTGCCAAAGAGGGTCATGCTCCAGTCATGCTTCAGTGATTTCCTAAATAATCAACCAAATTTTTTCCACAAAAGGGGACCCGGGTCCCCTGCCCCCCCCCCCCCCCTAAATCCGCCTCTGTGGAGACAGTTTATTCCAATCCTTGATGGTGTTCACAAAGAAGGACCATTTTCTACAATCTTTGTTTGATGGCTGTAATTGGTAAGTATGATATGTCCTGTCCGACCGGATCTTCTTGTTGGTTTTGTAGTGTATATCGACTGAAACTACCTCATTATCTTCGCAGCGTGGTGCGAAGCAATACAATCAGTGATCGTCCTGGATTACAGGTAGCTTGGCTCTGCGCTGATTTGATTATTAATCAATGTTGTAGTTTGTATACTATTGTTTGTCTTTTGGTCATCATTTGCAAACGTATGTTTTTAATTTAAATAGATTTTCAACAGGGATATTGCATGAATATTGGTAGAATTTATGTTATCAATATTTACTTACATCGATTTTAGTATTTTTTTTAATTATGTAAAAATTGTGATTTTGTGGAAAATTTAAGCCTGAACTCAATGCAAATATTTTTGAAATTTTTAAATCATTCTTTTTTCCCCAACATTAGATGTCCTATTTCTGTAATAATACAAATTTAACCTCGCGTAATACAAGGTATTTGTTTCCAGTAAAAAGAATGCTAAATAATGAACACTTTTTTCATACCAACCGTGTGAGACCCTATTGGGTAGTTAATGTCGTTTAACACCCCCTAGTAGTAGCACCTTTTTATATAAATACAAATATTGAACCTTTACCCGCCAATTCGTAGCGACAGAGTTGTGGAATCAATTATGACCGGTAAAGCTTCGTGTTTTGGTTTGCTATTTATTAAGTTCTTGTTTTTCTAAGTACGTACTACTTATAACGGCTCATTTGGCGGGCAGCCCTGCTTGTTATTTGTGTTTTTTTGTCAATGCATTTATTTGTGTTCTTTTGTCTATGCTTTTATAATGTTGCTTGCTACAATATGTTTCTGCTTGGATACGTTTTTTTCGTGTATACATATTATGCTAATGTTTTAAAGTCGGTTGTAAGAGCTCATTGAAGCTCATGTTGCGTATTGTAATGTTTATATCTGTCTACTCTTAACTTACTCACTTACACGCTTACGCTAATACAATCGACAGATCGTTTATCAGATTGTTTCTACCGTCTTAGATATCGCAAAATACCGGTCGCTCGACACATGATACTGCATTTGGTAGAAGCTTTTTGGCGTGTTCGTTGTGCTAACTCACAAAGAAGCTTCATATTATGTGCCATTAACTTCAGTGGCGGCTCCAAGGAAAAAAGGGGGGTCCGGGGTTGGAACCCCCCCTTTTTGACGATCAATGCATTTGAATGGGGACATATGTTTGGAATCCCCCTTTCTCCAGGGTTGGAATCCCCCTTTTAAAAATGGCTGGATCCAACCCTGAACTTGACTTCTTAAGGATGTTTTGTAATTATTGTTGTCTCTTGGTAAATCCACACGAAACCAAGCCTTTGGTCTTCAACAATAAATGCAGACAACACACGTGTGAAAACTTAACTTCTATAAAAATGTACCAAATGAAAACTTAATTCGAGGTTATATATGAGACGTGGATTTAGTAAACTGACACATTGTATTTCAGAAGTTCCTTTGTTTGTTTCGGGGTCAGATTTTATACAAAATCCTTTTTCAAGAAAAGGCAAAGAAGAAAACATTTGCCTTTAACTTCACGTTTCTCTATATAGCGGATGTCTTTTCCTGCACAATTTAAAGGCTTTGTGACTATGTCGACGATCATATATCCCATTGAAATTGAAATTAAAGATACCACAGACTGCTCCATACTTTGGCTTACTTCTATAGAGCTTTGACTATTTAAGGGTGGTTCGAGAACTGAACTTTACGATCAAAGAGATGATTCTAATGTTCCAATCGTTAATTTGTCTATATAGCCATATTCCAGCAGCACAAGCATATGGAGTATTCTATCCTAGATGGTGATTACCTTGACAGAGAAGATCTGTATTTACAACGAAGCTGTTGAACCAATTGTTCTTATTGGTATATGTTGTAGTTACCCCTTCGCCTGAACAAAAATATGGGCGCCATCATGGTTTTACAAATGACAGCTCGATTAAATCACCAAAATGAGATTTATCAGTGGATTTTTAAGTCATTGGTAACACGAAGGGTGTCACTAATTGAACAGGATACTACCCTTCCAGACTACCTGAGTTCAAACTCGGTCTTTAAGTGGTGTTTGTGATGTTCAGACTTTGGTTTTTTTGTGTAGTGTTTTGTAAACCGTTGTTTTTTTTTCTTTTCGTCATATTTTAAAAAAAGTGTTGTCGTTTATTTTCACGTCAATTGCTTTTGATTCGATCATCTCATGGTATCTTCTCTTGATTTTTATTCTTTGTGTGTCTTGGCCGAGGTATAAAGGATGACATTCTTTTGCCAAAAACAAGAAAAATATATATAAGATGCAGATCAATAGACTTCGTTTAAATGCCACATGTCTGCAAAATTGGTCACCGATTACAGTTGAAAAAATAGGAGAAAAGAAAAGGGTTGGAGATTAAACAATGAAACGTATGACTTTTTTTTTACTGTGCACATTGCATTTAGGCAGACCTCACTTCGATTAATCTTCCTCTGTGCTTATTTTTGAGAAGAAGAAAAGTAATAAATGTATTCTCAATAAACCTACATGTCAGTTTTATAATTTGGCATGAATCGATTTAAAAGTACACTCAAACGGAAATCAAATTATATTAAATAAAGGTGATGTGACCGATATAGGTAAATGAGACAGCACTGAATCCAACGACAAAAAAAAACCAACCAAATGACATATATAGAGGACAACATACTATATAGTTTTCAACAATAAATAGGTGTGTACACAATATGTCAATCTCTGAATCGTTTTACGATTTACTACCAGAGACATAATTTATATTACAAGTATTATGTCTCTGTTACTGCCAATTGTTCAGTCCACAGCGGTCGCTGATAATATGCCGTGTCAGAGTTCTCGAAATCTGTTTTAGCCTGGTGGTCCTTGTAGAAAATCTGCTGGTCCTCACTAACATTTCTATTGTCAATTACAATAATTGTGGCAGTCCTTTGGATTTTTTTCCACTTTTCGAGAACTCTGCCGTGTGGATAGTAAACTAGCAATTGATAGTAAATCGTAAACAAATGTTGTACTAGCGTATACCTGAAAACAAGTGTAATTAAACTGTAATGAAATTACAAGGGAAATTACTATTTAAGACATCAAGAGCTGGATTTTCTTCAATTTTTCTCAAACTGAATCTGATGAAAATGTTATTTCATTTATGATTATATATTATCTGTTTATTTCCATATATGATATATCCTACCCGGGCGGCCTCTCATCTCCTACTGAATAAAAGCATAGCCCATTTCATCATTAATCATAACTGAGACCTTATATTAACATGAGGGGAAAATGGTTGGAGGAGGATGACTCGTTTATGTAAAAATAAATTTCTGGTTTGAAAAATACGCCGGTGGAATAAATTCATAATCTATACGGCCTTAAAGTAGGGTCGTTGTAGTAAGTTGTATGTCCAACTGTAATTTTCGGTAACGTGATTTATTTCACTTTGGCGCCAAACATTGTCAATGAAAAATGTTGACGTACACTGGTATCCTGCCAATAGGTCATGTCTTCTTTCTCTGCACGATAACAACCATTACCAGTCAAGGTTGTTTTGAAGAAAATCACACTTTTTGGAATTTGTCCTTGGGGTATTATGGAGTCGTCTTCTGAAGAATCAACCGAACTGCCCACTAAACAAGATAACACCCAAGATTCGAACGGTGATGTCGGAAATAAAAAAACAAAAGTTAAGGTAAAACAACGTTTGAAATTTTTTATATATCCAAGAAAATGCCATGATCAAATTATAGCTGTAATGAAATATATTGATATTGTCAGCTGATTCAGATTGTGTTAACATGTATATAAGTTATAAAGATATTAGATAGTTTTTGTCGCAGTGAGTGATAACATAAAGAATCACTCTACATTCGTCTTAGACTAAGTTAGAGTGCTACTAACTTTTTATTTTTAGAAACGTAACATAATTATGATCTATATGATTTTTAGCATTCTATTCACTAGATTACCGGATAGGTCCACCAAACTATAAACTGTTATTGAAGAATAATCTTCATATAATAGCAATTGTTAGATGAGGGAGGGTTGCCTCCCTGAATCACTGAGACTATAAATGTATGAATTAACGTTATATGTTAAAACCAATTATTATTCATTCCATCTTGTATAGGAGGGATTTATATAGGTTTAGCCTATATCCAATCCCTCTGTTTGAATATAATTGATTTAACCAAGAAAATCTTTGAATTGTAAAATATAGAAATATAAAAACGAGATGTGATAGGATTGAAAAATTAGATTTGGTAGTATTGCCAATGAGACAACTATCAGCAAAAATACTATAGCTTAGGAAAGGATTTAAAACCTCTTGGCTTAAATCTTTTGTTTTTTTTCTGCTAGTTCTTTAAATCTGCAGGTTAGGCTAATATAGAATGATCAGGCTATACATGTATACAATTGAGCTCATTTGAAAGTTTGTTAACAATAACATGTTAAAGCATCTTCTTTTTTGGAAGTGCAATCTAAAACTGTTACCTCAAATTAGCCAAATCCCTCTAGAATGCAACAAAATTATTATTGTAAAGTGCTAAAACACTTGAAATGATTTAAAAAGACCATAATAATATTTAAGGTAGCCCAAGGGCAAGGATTAAGTGTCATTTTTGTCTAGCCTTCGACTTTTGTCGAAAAAGCGAGACATAGTGATCCTACATTCCGTCGGCGTCGTCGTTGTTGTCGGCGGCGTCCACAAATATTCACTCTGTGGTTAAAGTTTTTGAAATTTTAATAACTTTCTTAAACTATCCTGGTTTTCTACCAAACTTGGACAGAAGCTTGTTTATGATCATAAGATAGTATCCAAAAGTAAATTTTGTAAAAAAAAAATTCCATTTTTTCCGTATTTTACTTATAAATGGACTTAGTTTTTCTGCCAGTTAACATTACATTCACTCTGTGGTTAAAGTTTTTAAAATTTTAACAACTTTCTTAAACTATCCTGGATTTCTACCAAACTTGGAAAGAAGCTTGTTTATGATCATAAGATAGTATCAAGAAGTAAATTTTGTAAAAAAAAAAATCATTTCTTCAGTATTTTACTTATAAATGGACTTAGTTTTTCTGCCAGTTAACATTACATTCACTCTGTGGTTAAAGTTTTTAAAATTTTAACAACTTTCTTAAACTATCTTGGATTTGTACCAAACTTGGACAGAAGCTTGTTTATGATTAAAAGCTAGTATTTAGATGGAAATTTTGTTAAAATTTTGTTCCATTTTTTCCGTATTTTACTTATAAATGGACTTAGTTTTTCTTCCAGTTAACATTACATACAGTCTGCAGTTTAAGTTTTTAAAACATTTATTAGATTCATAAACTATCCTGGATTTTTACTAAACTTGGACAGAAGCTACTTACAATCAAAAGATAGTTTAGAGAGGAATATTTTTATTAATTTTTTTCCACATTTTTGTTGAGCCTGTGATTAACAGCAAAAGTAGGCGAGACACTGGGTTCCGCGGAACCCTTACGAATTTTTACTTATACCGATACATGCATATATACACATTTGACTAATTAAGAGGAAATGATTTAGGATTAAGTGTTATTTTAACTCATAAATAACAAGGATTTGTATAGTACACAAATCCTTGTAAATAACAATACACATTTTTTTTCATGCAATTTGTGCATGACCTCTTATCTTAATTAAATTGAAGTAGCACTGAAAGACCAATTTTGATTTGTTTATTAATTTTTTTTTAACTATATTTATGATTAATTCTTTCAAGAGAAAATCAATAGTAAGCATGACCCCACAGAACTAGTTGGCAACCTAAATCATTTTGGAAAGGGTACATTTGAGTTTTTGTAAACATGTTTTACGGTTAAAAAGATTGACTCCTAATTTTATGATTTATGGGGAATTGGGAAGATATCCGATTTCTGTATACGTTAAATTACGGATGATAAAATGTTGATGCAGTCTTCTTGATAACACACTTGATAACAAGATTTTGTCAATGTTATATAAGTTGATATATATTAATTATAATAATTATGGAATTGAAAACAAATGGTTGTCATTTATCAAAAGTATTTTTGATAATTGTGGAATGTCAAATATATGGCAAAATCAAGATTATATCTCAAAACAATGGATTGTATTAAGCATTGAACAAAAGTTAAAAGATCAGTTTAGACAAGAATGGCTTGCATATGTAAATCAATCATCAAAAGGTTTTTGTTATAAATCATTCAAAACTAAACTTAAATTTGAAAGTATTTTTCAGTTTTATCATTAAACAATGCACTGAAATTATGTAAATTTAGATGTGGCAATCACCATTTACCAGTGGAGACAGGGAGGTGACATAATGTTCAAAGACCAGAGAGAGTATGTCACCTTTGTGAATCTGCTGACATCGGCGATGAATTCCATTATGTCATGTCTTGCCCTTTTTTTAAAAAAGAACGATATAAATATTTACCACACTATTGTTATACAAATGTTAATATTCTTAAATTTAATAATGTATTCACTACAGTCAATATTGTCTCACAAGAAAAGTTGTGTAGATTTATAAATTATATATCAGTGAAAGTCTGTCCTCCTGGTGAAACTAGTTATATATGTAATTTTCACACATGCAAAATATGTTATATTGTATATATTTTCATCTCTAACTATGTAATTAAGTTAATGAGAATAAAGATCTATCTTTTTTTTCTGTCTGTCCATCAGCACTTCTATGCTCTTCACTGTAGGCGCCAAAAATAAATGAAAAGAATATGGTATTAAACTGTTTTCTTTAAAGTCAATATTTTTAGAGATGCCTTTTTATGGTAGGATTTCTACAAAATTGATACATAAGCATGATTTATGTATGATATGTTATTCCAAGTTGATTCTCATCAAATACACACAAGAGTCTGGATCATGTGGATGGTGTTTATGTAAGAGAGAATAATGGGCCAAAAGGAAAAAAAAAAAGAGTAGAGAATAATTGAGGGCTATATAGCTAGAATATAAAGAATGAGAATAATGGGCAAAATTTATAAAGAATAGAGGAAAATTTCAATATTAGCAGAATACAATTATGTTTGAGTAACTTCCCTTTAGTCTTATATGAAATGCCTAGATCATTGATGAGTTGTATTTTGTTCATTGCATAACTTGTCCTACACACTTTAGAAATAGTGCTTTTCATAGAATATGAAATCATTTATTTAAATTATATCGGTTACATTCAAGTGTTGGAGTTGGTTAGGGAAGACACATGTAGTTATATAATTTCTGCATTATTGAGATTGATAAAATAAATAAATGTTTCAGCTTATCACAACATTTGTTTTATTATAACTAACAAACTAACCCAGATATATATCTTTGTAGGTAAAGGTAAATATATAATGTTCTTTTAGAAAATTGAAGCATATGTTAACATCAATATGTGCATTTTTTAATTAAAAAGTAATGAAAACAAGAAATTATTTAAAACTAGAATACAGTTGAAATCTGGAATATTTGGTAAAATAATTTATTTCTAAACATGTTAAAACTAATCTGACTTGTAAGGGTTATCCATGTATGCATGGTTTAGGTTATATTTTTAGTTATTTTTTTAACTACTTCTTTTTTAACCAATTGAAGACCAAAAGACATGCATGCATGGCTTACCATACTTTGTTGGGTCAGTTTATCAATCAAAAACTTACCTGATTTTCAATTTTTATACGACCGCAAAAAAATTTTGTGGTCGTATATTGGTATGACGTTGGCGTCGTCCGGCGTCGTCGTCGTCGTCGTCCGGCATCGTCGTCCGAAGACACATTGGTTTTCGCACTCTAACTTTAGTTTAAGTAAATGGATCTTTTTGAAATTTGACCATAAGGTTAAATACCACAAAAGGAAGGTTGGGATTGATTTTGGGGGTTATGGTACCAACAGTTAAGGAATTAGGGGCCAAAAAGGGGCCAAAAATAAGCATTTTCTAGTTTCCAGACAATAACTGTGGAACGGTGTATGGATCTCTCTGAAATTATACTACAAGTTTCCATACCACAAAGGGATGGTTAGGATTTGCTTTGGGGGGTTATGGCTCAAACCGTTTAGGAATTAGGGGCAAAAAAGGGGGAAAAACAAGGTTGTCCTGGTTAATGGACAAATACTTCAGTACAAAACATAATTTAAAGCAGTGTAAGGGAGATAAATCAAATACATCATTGAAATTATCTCCCTTACACTGCTTTTAAATTATGTATAAAGTAATGGTTAATGAACAATAAAGATAATTTAAAACAGTGTAAGGGAGGTAATCCAAATACAACGTTTTGGTTACTTCCCTTACACTGCTTTTGAATTATGTTTAAAGAAATGCATATTTATAAAGGAAGACCAGTAAAAATATCTGCAAATGTTGCATCTTTTTTTTTTACAAAAAAATCCATATGAAAGATTTGACACTATATTTTTAATTCTATTATAAAGTAGATTAAGTTAGCACTATGGTAAATTTAAATGGGTAATTATGGTTGCCAACTCCATTGGAAATTTGAATTGAGATTATGACCATATCATGAGAGAAAGAATTTTTTAGGGGAAAAAAGGGGGGGGGGGGGGGATAAAAAGAAATTGTGGGGGGTCAATTTTTCTCATTTCAGATTTCAGAAATTAAAAAAATTATTCTTCAAATATTATTTTTTTTTCAAATTTCAAATATTGAAAAATTT